TCGAGAGGAGCCAGTTGAGGTGGCTCGGGCATCTGTTTCGGATGCCTCCTGGGCGCTTCCCTTGGGAGGTGTTCCGGGAATGTCCCACCGGGAGGAGGCCCCGGGGAAGACCCAGGACACGCTGGAAGGACTATGTCTCTCGGCTGGCCTGGGAACGCCTCGGGGTCCCCCCGGAGAGCTGGAGGATGTGTCTGGGGTGAAGGAAGTCTCGGAGTCCCTGCTTAGGCTGCTGCCCCCGTGACCCGGCCCCGGATAAGCGGACGAAAATGGATGGATGGATGGATGGAGTCACAATTAGGTATTCAATTTTTTTCCTAAAACAACTGGATGCTACTGCTACTATGTGCTGTGGTCCTCCATATCAAATATATCAGTTACTATGACAACAATTACTACCAAATTTAGGCCCCTACAGTTACTACTATTATTGCTTGCTCCAATTGTGCTACTACTACCTCTGAGTGTGCTACCCATCTTTGCCACACAATAAACTACCAATTCAGAGTCATTTTAACTTTTTCACCAGAAATTGAGCGAAAATGCTTTCTCCATCTCTGTCTCAGTTAGCTGCAAAAACCTCCTTGTCAACCTGTAACCATGCAGCGTCACATCATTTGAAAATATAAATACTTTTCATAAGCCCTAATGAGGCCCTGACCTTTAATTCCCCTTTGCAAATGAGGATTTATTACCAAAACAGACTCCTTAGATGGAAAAGGCCTTCAGGTTGTCACAGTGTTGTCAGAAGTGAACTTGCGCTCTGATGCAACCCTAGCTTTTAGTCTTGTAATAACTGCGTGTGATATAAACAAGTCTTCTTTCAAACTGTTATTGGACTGACCCTCAAAATGGCACCTTAGCAGGAAAGTGAAATGATTGACGTGTCACAGAGATGACTATTAAAGGGCCCATATTTCGCTATTTCGCGTCTTGTTTCATTCACAAATGTTGAACACACAAACCCTGTGTATTTAGGTTATGTTTTTCTCTCAAACAGAAAACAACCTGTTCCCTTGTGATGTCATGTGGTAAGACAGGAAGTGCGTCACTGTGTTTTCAAACTCCATACACCTTCATTAAAATCATTTAGATTATTTCATTCTTGGAGTTTCCAATCTCTTCTGAATTAAAGGTAAATGGTAGCTGTTAACTTGAAAACTACTGCTTCATATCATCACAAGGTGAAACAGAGGAATTTGAGCTTTGGAGATGGAGACAGACTAATAATGCAGGGTTACTTAAACATGTGTGAATGAAACAAAACACAATTCCAGGTATGTTTGTAATAAAGTAACAATGTTACAATATAACAATTGTAACAATGTTGTAATATAGGACATTTAAGGCTATTGCATGACAAAAACTTTCTCAGTGTTTCAGATTGAGAGAAGATGGGTGGTGTAATAAGTCAAGACTACCCATTGACCTCTGCTAAGGCATTATCTTTTGAAGTGCTGGGATAATAATATGTATTTGTTCTGTCGTTAAAAGTATGTTCAAAGAGGCACCTTGCACTTAATTACCTTCATTTACTGAAACTGTTCTTATTGTTCTTCCCATACTCAACTAATAACTACCTTACATTTACCCAATTATCAGTTTGCATGCAAAGTCAATATAAAAGAGATAAGACACTTTGTACTGTACACAGGGACAAAGCCAGGTATGTTGCGTTTAATGTGTTGACAAGTTCTGGCGACAACAACAATGCTAACTCGCTATTTTTAATCTATTTGGCCGGGCTCTTTAGCCTAATGATTTTACTGTGTTTTCATCCATAGTTGTCCTAGATGTCATTTGCACCACCAGTTACCTTAAAAACACAGGTTTTTGCTAAAATAAAAGTGTTTTTTTTTTTTGCATTTTGATTTTGTTATGTATCCTTGCAGGCTTGCATCTCCACAAACCTCTAACTAGGCCTTGGCGTCCACACTGACAGCACACATGCATTAAAGGTGCACTGTGCAACTTTTCAGGTAGAGGGTTTGCCATCTAATTGTCTCCATGGAGATGTTACAGATTTGCCTGGAATGTTCCACAGTATGCCATAAAATCTGAATGAGTGAATTACAGGTATTTTTATTAATCAAAAATGCTTTAAAACATGCTTTGTCAGCATAGTCGTCTTTCCACAGACCTAACTTGTATCTTGACCTTGTAGCGTCACTTGCTTGCCTCTTTGGAAATGGACATGGTTTAATGCAATGGTTTAATGATTTAATGCATTCCAGGCAAAACAAAGACATCTCCATGGAAACAAGCAGTTGATGGAAAGTTACACATTGCATCTTTAAATCAACTATTATTTTTGCAGCAATTGTGCCTACCCCAATAGCTTGAGTACAATGAATGCAGCAGGGAGGGCATCTGGCTTAAACCCTATATGTCCAATCACTATGCAGAAGTTCGAGTTCAGATGATTTTGCAATATTAAAATTTCCACTCGCTGTTGCCGTGCTTAGCTACAGCCACTAAAGATATGATTGGCTATGTGGGCACTTTATTTTCCCTGTAAATAAAACTCGTGGTCTTATAACTGAACTAAAACCTCTTTCTCATTTGAACTTGGATCACCCCCTGCATGCCTGTGCTGGACTTTGCACTGCTCAGCCTGCACCGCGATAGAGCAGATAGGTACATGGACTGTACTATCTCCTATCCCGTGTACTATCTCAAACGGAGACACAGTGAGGAGTAGAGGCACATAAATCTTGTGTATTTACGACCAGTGCTGTAGTCAGCTATCTGTTAGGATGCCCTCCCCCTATCCCCTCCACAATCGTCTGTAGGCAAGGTTACCCACGTTTAATACTCTTGTCACATAGCATATCAGCGTTGGATAGTGTTTCTCAAATTGTCAAGTTTTGAGTGATTGGATGATGTTTAGAGAGCTGAGGCAAAAGCTGATATCTGATACTGGAAATCTGAAGAGGTTCAAGCTAGCTTGGGTTTGTTTTTATGCGTTGTCATGATCTCTCTAGCTCATAATAAAGAGGGAGAATGCTAATTTGGTGCACTTGCAAGTTGTCATCTCGCAACGGTCTGCTCCTATTAGTGGGTCAGAGTGAGTAATGTAGTTTGACAGCATTTAAAGTGAGAGATAGAAATTGTGTTGACGCTTTGGCCATGTGGTACATAAAAAAGAGGCAGAGAGGGGGTGTTGTTATGTTTTTATTTGGAAAATTAATTAAAGAAGAGTCATGCGAGGTCACTTGTGCCAGTCCCACGCCCTAATAAATGTGCATGACTGCGTCATTCGATCAAACATGAAATTACGTAACAGAATAATTGTGTTGCCTGTCCAGTTCATGCATGTGGATTCTTAAGAAGTTAAGTCTTTTATTTTAATTGAGCTTATTAAACGTAAGCTTTATTTTTTTAAAGATGTAACTTTTCTGGTGGAGGGTCAGACATCTACTTCTATACATGGGCAGTTAATGATTTGCTGCAATGTTCTGCAATATATATAATGATTTGTCTAAAAATAAGTCATATATATCCCTATATCTAGATGGAGGGAGACCATTTATCATCTGTAGCTCTAATGCCCCATAAAATGTATTTGTATAAATTAGAAAAGTGTTAGGTTGTGCATTTTATATCTCTCACAAAAGTACCTCCCTTGCCCTGAACCCTGCCATCTATCATATAATATTTGACTCTTCTAATCCTCTATTCTTCCAGCACTTTTCTGTGCACAGATGCGTATGCGTGTGGACAGGCAAGTGCTGTGAGGAGGCATTGACCCATCACCGCCTCTGATCCATGTCTGCTGCACATCAATACACATTCATCTGCACTTGTTTCACCCCGGGCTACTGTAGGCTAGCGGCTCAGCTACCCCAACCTCCACACAGACAACACTTTGTCCAGAGCACTCACTCTAGCACTGACACCCTACACCGGCCCAGACATCTGATGGAACCCCCTCCCTGCTCACTACACTCCCCTCCCTCCTTTGTGTGTGATTAGTCTGTGTTTAAGGTGTTCCAAATGTCACTGGTCACCGATCCTTCCTATACACCATTCATTAAGTTGTGATTTAAAGGAAAGGCTACAATTATCCCCCGTGTCCCACAACAGTGTTCTGTCTATTTTAGTCACAATGGACAGAGTGATGGAGAAGACTGGGGGCATTGTCAGTGCAAGAGTTTGACATAACACTGTGGTGTGATGCATTTTGGGAAATCCCAGTAGAACTAACCATTTAGGGGCATAAGTGTATAATACAGATTTATATGTGGATTTGAAAAAAACATTTGAAAACACAAACCAAATGTGACCTTTATATACCATACACACAATGTATATGTGACTTTATTCTCAAATAAAAGAAAAAGTGTCTATAGGTTTAATGTTATTTGCACTGATTTGCATACAGCCTGTGTATATATAGTTAGAATTTAGAAAAATAATTTAAAAAGAAGTCAGGCCTGGAATTATTCCGTTTTGTATTTGATAGATATTTGATTATATGTGTAAGTAGCTCCTCACAGTAAATAGTCACTTTGAAGTAGTGTGCAATATAAGTTTGCTGTGAGTTTATAGGCCAAAAGTGCACAAAGGACGGCACTGTGGTGTGGATTTCATGCAGCCTTTAAAAGTGATTGAAGCTGGGATTGGTGCTGAGTGGCAGCGGCGCAGGATGGAACCAGATCCCCAGACTGATGAGCGCTCTAATAGGCCTGTCTAATGTATCATCGATGGATTGACTGCCGTCTCGGAGGAGGCGTTTCGTTGGATTTGCGCAGATGAATTTCTGGGAAGTGAAATACAGTTGTGGTGTCTGGGGTGAGAAAATACGCCCTCTATGGGCAGAAAGGATGTACAGTGAAGATCAGCCCAAAGCGATACACAGGAGCATTTCTCATGCGCTCACTGTCCTCTCTCTCTTTTCCGCTCTCAGCCAATCTGCGCGCGGTGACGCTGAGCAAAGGCAGGATCTAGTCTTGCTCCATCGTCGTATTTAACACACCCACCAGTTCCACACATGCTACAGAGGTGCGTTCTTCTGCCCGCCTCTTCGCGCTTGGATTTAGCCCGAGCTCTTACCTGTGGGCCGACTAGTTTTTCTGGGGGAGTTTCCTTGGGAAGGAACATGACTTATACCAAACTCGCTTTTCCGGGATAACTAATTCTCTACAGCTCACGAATCGCACGAATTCGAAAGCTCTATGCGCGCAGCTCCCTCGTGTCACTTTACGTGGCTCCTCGCGCAGTGGAGAGGCACTGGGCTGTAGGATGTGGCTGTGGAGTGGACCAACGAGACCTGCTTTACCTGGACGATTGCGGATGGTTTTACGCGCGTGAGAGAACACTGAAAACAAGTGCGAATCCAAAGTGTTGACACTGAATCCTTCACTCAAGACGGCCAGCGAAGATGGCTCCTATGTGTTTAATGTGTACTTCATTAGATTGGCGTCCAGTGTGATCAACATCATTAGCGATGTAGTCAGCCTCTTCATCTGCGTGCTCATCATCTGCAGCAAATACTCGCATCTGCTCAAGCGCGAGACCATGAAGATGATCCTGCTGCGTAAATTCCGCGTGCTCATTCTGATGGTGTTCTTGGTCGCCTGCTCCATGCACATCATGATCGACCTGCTGCCCAAGCTGGAGCGCAGCGGCAACAGCGGCTGTTCCTGCTCGCACACGCCGAGCGAGGAGCCTCAAAACTGGGCCAAGCAGAGCTGGCCTAACAAGCACACGCTGCGGATCCTCCAGGACTTTAGTAACGAGCCCAACTCCAACGTGTCCTCGCATTCACTGGATAGGCTTCAGGGCGCAGGGGACAAGAAGCAATCCCTCCGGAGGATGGAGATGCACGTAGCGGACAGGAAGCGCCCCCTCATCCAGGACGCGGCTGTCACCAAGAACGTGCCGCCCAAAGGTTCAAGGTTGTCCGCGCTGTTCGATCACCCGTTATACAAAAGAGCCCTACCAACGCTAACAGACGAGGACACGCTGTTTAACGTCAACACGGACATCCGATTTAACCCCAAAGTGGCGGACGAGACAGAATGGTAACCAAATATTAGCCTAGTGTTTATCGGTCACTCAATGGGCCTGTTATTAAATTAGTGTGTCAGATGCTTTTATCTGACCATCTGAATGATTACTGTATAATAAGTAGACTCACTGTGTTTCACTGTCCACGCTTTGCTACCCTTGAGCTGAGCATCTCTTAACTTGACCATTGTTGAAACACAAGCTTAGCAATAGGTCAAATACAAAGTTCATCACATGATTAAATATTCCAAATCTCCTACAGCCCTATATGCAGGTATTATTCATGCACAACAACCCTAAACCAAAGTAACACCTCTTAGTCGCACATATGCATGCCTCTTTTTTAATTTGTCTCAGCAGCACAGCCTCTAGTTTATCTCCCTGCAATCACATCAATTCATCAAGCTGTTGCACAACACCTGCCCGCCTTACCTAAATAAATCAATGTTCCAACTCTGTCTCACTTATAATTTATTTTTCTTCTACTCACAGGAACGAGCAAATTGGAGTGAAAGAGTTAAGCCCGACTGGAGAGCTCACGCCTGATTCCTACCCCAACTGGCTGCGCTTCCATATTGGGATTAACAGATACGAGCTGTACGCCAGACACAACCCTGTCATAGATGCTCTCCTCAAGGACCTGGTCACCCAAAGGATCACAAGTGTGGGTGAGTGAAAGGCCAGAGCACGGGTCAAAATCACACCTACACTGCACATGCCAACGCCACACAGCTGCTGGTGGTAAACTTGGAGAAGAGCACAAGTTCAACTTGAATAGATAATGCAATGTACTGTGGGAAGTAGGGTCATTTAGTGACACAAGGGAGTACATGGCTTGGATTATCTCTTGTTGTAAAACCCTTTGCATGTTATAATAGCCATAAAAGTAATTAAGTAAATTGATATTGTGTAATTCACATTAATGTCTTTTGTAAAGCTTATAGTTAAATTTGTTTATTAAAAATAATTGAGACATAATTGAGGTCTTAATTGAGGGATTAGGGCGTTGTAGTTACTAAACCTGGATCATCTTTAATAAACTTTGCCTATTATGAATCAAGTCTTTGTTCATGCATTATTAAAGCAAATTAAGGTGTAGTATTTGTAAGGTAGTACCATTTTTATAACTGTCATATACGTGCGTTGGCCTCTTGTCACATAAACTTCTTCTTAAATAGGTTTTCTTCGCAGTAGGTCTACTGTACTGTAAAACACTGGGCTGAGAGGGTGCAGATATGTGAAAGTTATAATGCACTTTCCAAACAGGTCTGCAGGTTTTCAAGTGCAATGAAATATGACATTTGTGTAGTTTAAAAAGTTGTTTTAGATGTTGTTATAATATTGCGTAAGGCATAATGTACATGATAATGCACTAGCGATGGAAAAAGAGGTATTGTTATTGTGCCTAAATATTTAACATTTAAGTTATAAGGCAATTTTTAAAGATGATAAGAAAGTACAAAAATTATATAGTGTTGTCAAAATGTATTTTTAAAATGATTTTACCCAGGGTGACAAATGAATACCTGATTTAAAGGTGGTTGTGGAGTGTCCTACAAATGTGTTTCTTCATAGAGATGTTATTGCTTTGTCTGGAATGTTTCACAGTATGTTTTCATCTATTTCATCTGTTTTCATCTAGACCAAACCAGATCAAGTTACAAGTCAGATCTGTGGAAAGGCAACCCGCCCGCTCACTGTTAGAATGCCTGTTTTTCTAGGTATTTTAGAGCTATAAAACCACCTGTAATTGAATAAATGTAAGATAGAGCTGTTTAATGTCATATAGTGGAACATTCTAAGCAGAAAAATGACATAGAAACAAGAAGGTGATCATATATAATCGCCATTTTAAATTTAAAATGTGGTGAAATTTCATAATCTGTAATATATCAAAAATGACAACCAACTTCCTGTTCCGCTTTTAGTCTGCTCCTGTACCTTTTGTCAGGTGTTGTTAACGTGCTATAAGTGAAGCTATACTCAGAACAATGTGTGCAAAAATGCAGTCCCCCTGAGTAATTCCCAACTGGGTGTGTGGGTTTTGAGCTGTCTGCGGGGGGAGGGGAAGGGGGGCACCTGATGCTTGATGGACAGGTGAGCTCCTGTCTGCCAAACAAGCCCGCAGTTACATATGAGATTAGAACTGAACGGAAAGTCTATTTAACTCCATCTGCCTGTCTCGTGAAACCAAGGAAATCATAGCGTAACACAGTTCCAGCCCCAATGCATCCTGGGAGAATATAACGAGCAATGACTATGATAGAGGATAACTGACAGGTGTATTTCAGTGTTGTAAAATACTAGTACACACCAAAGTGGTACTGTTTTCTTTGGATACTTTTTTGTGCTTTTTTGAAAACAGTTGTATCATCTTGCGTTTTGGCTGAGTTCACTTCTTAAATTCCAATGGACTCAAGGTCGCTCCTCTTGCTCTAAAGTGATTGCAGATTTTAGATATATCTGCCAATGACTAAGCTTTGGCATGCAGCAAGTATTAAAGGGAAGACATGCATTTTTAACTTATTAAAACAGGTTGACCTCCAGATTCAAAGGAAAAATAGGGCGTGCTTCAACTTTTATCATGAGTAAATGTACAAAATATGTTTAAGATATAACACAAAGCAAAAAAGTAAGCAGTCTAACTTAGATTATATTCTTGTGATCCAATTTTGGGATTTAAACTGCACATTTTTGAATGACTGATTTAGATCAAACATGAAATTGACTCCTATGTGTTTGAGTTGTATTGTCAGAACTTACTTTATCATACAAAAATTGGTCTTTTGTTGTCTTGTCAACACTCAGAAACTTACAAACAAACAAATGTCTATGTATATTGTTGGGTTGTCATGATATTAAACATTGACAATAATTGATCTCAATGCTGATTTTGCAACAACTATTGTATAAAAAAAATCTTTTATCTTTCTATGTAATCATATAGAAGTTCTGATATAGCTCAGGATCAAAGTTCAAATTTTGCCCTGTTTACATTTTCATTACTATCTGATTTTTTATACTTTTGATAACCTTAATACACTGATAAACGGACGGTGTATTTTCCATCGTTTACAAAATAGTTCTGTTAGCACGTTTTGCATGTGTCATAGCAATAAATGTCTATTCAAAGGTTCATCTGAGAAAAAAAGCCACAAACCTGGCATATTCAAATCACTAATACCACACGCAAATGAGTTTCAATCCAGGAAAATTTTACAGGTTAGTTAGAGGAAGTGTTTTTAGAATATCTGTTAAAGATTCCCTACCCAAACATTTCCTCCTCAGCACCCGTAACAGAGGCCTTTGCTGTCAGTTAGCATTTTTTGGTTTGGACAACTCCTGATCAAACTCAAGCACTAATTTATTGTGGACCACTATAGCAAACAATGAATGAATGAGTAAATAAATAAAGATTCACTGTGTAACTTTTTTGTAGGGGACGTGCGACGTGCTTGTCTCCATGTTGTTTAATTGCAGTTATTCAATTACAAGTGTTTTCATTGCAAAAAAGATACCTTGAAAAACATGCATTCTTATATATTTTTACAGTGAGAGTGGTCGCCTCTGCGCAGATATGACCTGTAACTCGGTGTCATTGCATTCCAGCTCATTCTAGTCTGCCTTTATATTAAAACTAGATATAGAATCTATAGTTATTGTGCTTTCAATCTTAACAGAGCTCCACTCCCTGGCTGGTCAGTTGAGGAATTTCCTTCTCTTCTATCTTTATACTTAAGCAATAGGCCCGACTCTCCCTGTGTCTGCTTTCTCCCGGTGGATAGACGAAGCCGTTCTCAGCGTCTGTATCCAGCTAAGTACATGCTGGCTCCATAATTACAGAGCTTTCACACAGGCCCGGGGCAGAATACCAATACAAGCCAACAGCACATGCTTATTATCTCAACTTAAGAATAGTGGGCGCTTTATAGGTTCAAAGTGCTTGTGTTTGTCAATGAACGCGCACAAGAGATCGATTTAATAAAGGCCTTCATCATGGAAGTAAGTTAGGCCGTAGTAGTAGTAGTGTTTGGATACTGTAAACTCCACTAGTGAATTTTTAGTTTTTTTGTATCTAACAATGCTGACTAGTTAAAATCATGTAATTTTAAATGTTTTAAAGCTGGGATTCCCAAATTAGGGTCTGTGTTTTCTGCTGGCCTTATATTTAAGCTGCCAAAAAAAGACAGGTTGAGACATTCACATTTTTATAAATACTTAATTTTTAATGCTTTGTCTAAAATGTCCCACACTATTGCGTTAAATTTATCGATCTTGCTTTTATCCAATTACGGGTTCTTTTACTGCTTAAAAACATGTTTTCTCACTGTGAGCAGAGTCTCCTTTCAACAGATCCGACCTGTAACTTGGCGTGTGTGGTGTCTCCATGGAGATAAGTTCAATGCCATACCATGGAGCATTACAGTCAAAGGTATAACATCTTCATAGAGACAAGCAGGTTGTGAGTTTCCACCACAAAAGTTACATTGCCTTTAAATGTTTTAGGCAACTATAAAAAAATATATATAAAATGATAATACATTTTAAATTGAATTATTACAATATTTTAATTAGCTGGGACGCTGCAACCTGCTTTAAAGTAACTCAAAACGTAATATTTTAACTGCATGCTTGTAAATGTATTTTCTGTATTTCAAATATTTATCCCAGACATAATTTCTCCCTCAATTATTTTAGTCAGTATTTTTAGTATACTGCTAATTCACAAACAACTAAAGCATGTAGATTATACTCAGATAACCTTGTCACTTGATGTTACCACCTTGAAAATCTGTTCTAAGTTTGTTGTAGTTAATTGAAGTTGAATGAACTGAATGTTTTCCATGTAGTAACCCCCTGGTGCAGCATTTTCAGGTAGGCTGAGCCCCAAATCGATGGCTGGTCTTTGTAAACACGTCCCTGTCTCTGTGATTCCCGTATGTAAAAATAAATGAGGGAATTGATTGCACAGGTTGTACTACTGGCAAAAGGCCACCGAAAACATTGTTCCTGATCGATCTGCGGCTGCTCGCCTCAGATCTTTTTGGAAAAATTTCAGGCTTGTACAATGTTCAGAGCAGAGTCCCACGAGGGCTTTCACAATGCATTATCATGGTGGAGGACTGAAGGGGACAGGGAGAGAGAAAAGAATGAAGAGAGGGAATAGAGGAGAGGAGAGAAGAGAACAAAGAGAGGGAGAGGAGAGTGCGAGAAGAGAGGAATATAGAAGAGAAGGAGGCAGAGAGAGAAGGAGAGAGAGGAGAGTGAGAGAAGAGAGGAATATAGAAGAGGAGACAGAGAGCAGAGAGAAAGAAGAGAGCTGAGAGGGACACGACAGATGAGAGAGAGAAGAGAGGAGGAGAGAAAGAGAAGGTGGCAGAGAGAGCAGAGGGTGAGGAAGGAGAAAAGAATAAGACAGGGGGGAGAGAAAGATGATAGAAAAGAGAAGAGGAGAGTGAGAGAGAGATGGGGAGAGAGAGGAGATAAAATACTAGAAAAGAGGATAAGGAGAGAGAGAGAGAGAGAAAGACACTAGAGGAATGGGAGAGGACAAAGATGAGAATGTGAGGAGTGAGAGAAAGAAAGGAAAGAATAAAGATAAGCGGAAGAGAGCGAAGGGGAGAGAGCAGAGAGAAATGCAGTAGAGAAGAAGGCAGAGAGAGAGAAGGAAAGAGAACGAAGAAAGGCAGAGGAGAGAGACTCAAGAGGAAGATAGTCAAGAAGAAGGCAGAGAGATAGAAGGAAAGAGAATGAAGAGAGGTAGAGGAGAGAGACTAGAGAGGAAGATAGTAGAGAAAGAGACAGAGAGAGAGAAGGAAAGAGAATGAAGAGCGCTAGAGGAGAGAGACGGGAGAGGAAGATAGTAATGAAGAAGGCAAAGAGAGAAAAGGAAAGAGAACGAAGAAAGTAGAGGAGAGAGACGGGAGAGGAAAACAGTAGAGAAGGAGGGAGAGAGGAGAGAAAGACGAGAGGGAGAGAGGAGACAGAGAAAAGGAGAAAGAGAAAAAAAAGGTTAAAGAGGACAGAAAGAGAAGAGATGGAGAGAGAGGAGATAAAACAGTAGAGAGATGGTGAGAGTAGATAAAATAGAAGAGGAGAGAGAGATGGAGAGGGAGAGAAAGAGCAGTCCGTCCTTCACCTCCTCACTCTCCTCTCCTGTCAAACAAAGCGCGGTGGCAGAGTCATTTCAGAGAGCACACTCACTAACATGGATAAACACTGGTTCAGCTACACAACAGCCCGAGGACCTCATTTCATTGGCTCACACTGATTCTGTAATACTTTGGTGGTGGTATATGCGTTTTTGTCGTTTCGTTAAATCTTAAAAACGCGAAAAACAAAACTAGTTCATTTTAAACCATCTGCAATTGTCCAAACTGATTCACTCACTTCCTTCATGCATTCCAAGCATTCTAATTGTTCACCGCAATGTGTTTAGAAGCTCTTTTCACAACTGTCAGATACCAGAGTGGAGTTTTGCCATGATGGTAAAGGTAACAATTACCGGATAAGTAAGTGCTTTGTAGTTATATGCAAATAGCACACATCTCAGTTATTTTGAGCTTAAGAACTGCTTATACAATATATCTGTACCCGGGCCAGACACATTTAGCTCAAATATATGTGGAAAAAGTGCAGGACCTTTACCTCCTGTAACAGATGGTGATGTAAGCCAAACAGTCAGTAGTACTACAGTATATGTGTTATACTAAAACATACTTCTAACCTGTAAAGTATCTTAATTTCCTCCACAAACAACAAAATCTCCTGTCTTATTCTGCTTAAAAACTTCTGACCCCTGTAGTTTAGATCTGTACAAACATGCTCTGAAATGTGACTCGTTTTTGTATTTGTTTGCCAGTTCACATTACAGTCTTTTTGCCAATTCTTCTGGACACGTTTCAAAACTTTGAACAGAAAACTGCGAATCGAATCACAATGCTCGTCTGAAAAATTGCAGTCACACTTGTTCCCATATCGTGCTGACCTATGTAGACTCTATTGACAAAAAGAGAACACCATGACTTTTGATTGCTTAAACTCATGAACACTGATTGAAAAAACACAATAGGGGATTTATTGCGGATAGACTAGGTTAGGCTTTTGATGAGCAACTTAAAGTCAGATAATAAAAATCTTCCTATGATGTTCCTTTAATTTACATGTCTTTTCTAACTTTAATAATACAGTAGCTATCACAGGGTGTGTTACTAAAAAAATATTATCATTAAGTGTTTTGTACTTGGTAGGTGTGCCTCTTTTAAAGAATCCTACAGTAATTGAGTATGCCCAAAATACTAAGTAGTAATTTTAAGTTTAATTTTCTTGTATTATTTTTTCTTTTTTCTTTTTCTTTCCATTGTCAAACCAAAGTTGCTCCCGATGCTGCGTGCGTTTTACATTACATACCAGCTGTTCCTTATCACATTTTAACCCTATTTTCCATATACATTAATTTATATGTGCTTTACAATGCACTTAAAATTAATATATATGCATTGAAAATTTGTGTTTTTGACCAACAGGTATGAAATCTGGAGGCACACAACTGAAACTCATCATGACTTTCCAGAACTACGGACAGGCCTTGCTCAAACCTATGAGGTAAATGACACTACTGTTTTAGATTTAAGATATGTATATATATATTTTTTGTAATTTCTTATTTTCAAAGACAATTTTCCAGTGGATTTTGAAAACTTTAGTTTACTCCAATCTCAACTTTGTCCTTGAAACTTTCATCCCGTCTCTGTGGTGATATCAAATAGCTTTCATTTCTGGCCAGTCTTGATTTTTCCACTCTGTGCTGGTGGTTTTGCTGTGTCAGAGATGCATAGGGGCCCACCTCATTGGCTCCTGTAGATGACCTAGCATATTTTAAAAGCAGTTTTTAAGTCGCTCTACCCAAACGCGTATCATTTCATGGCTCATCTGAGGTATTGATCCGGCGATTGTGGTTGGTACAAATGGCGGTGATGACAGCAGAGAATTATGAGCGTAATATTGTCTTGTTCAAGCAGTGTTCTGTTTAAAGGTCCTATATTACACTAAATGGATTCTTGTGAGTTTTAGGCCATGTTATAATGCTGTTATCTCATCACAAACATACATGGAGTTGAGTTTTGTTTCATTCACACATGTTTGAGTAACCCTACATTATTAGTCTGTCTACATCTCTAAAGCTCAAAATGCTCTGTTCTGCCTTGTGATGTCATTAAGCATTAGTTTCCAAGTTACCTTTTACCTTTAGTTCAGTAGAAATTAATAATTCCATACTTGTGTTGATCCAAGTAATTCTCGTGAAGGTGTTTGAAGTTTTAAAACACAGTGGAGCACTTTCTGTATTACCACATGACATCACAAGGTGGTTTGAGAGAAGAACAAAGTCTAAATATGCAGGATCTGTTGTGTGTTTAACATGTGTGAATGAAACAAACCACAACTCCAGGTATGTTTTTGATGAGGAAAATCAGAAAAGAGCGTAACCCTTTAAAGGGTTCTGCCACCTGCTTGATTGAGATGTTATTTCTTTGCCTGGAATGTTACACAATATGACATTATCATAACTATTTTGTGTTTATTCAAATACTATTAAATCCTGGAGAAACATACCTTCTTACTGAGGTACAATTACTAGATTACTGCCAGGCAAAGAATAACATCCTCCAAGAGAAAAGTTACATAATACACCTTTATAATAAAAGCTATTTTGTATGTGTTTTCAATGTTGAAAGTTGTTATTAAAGGGTGTTGTGAATTAGTTTGCGTTGTTAGTGGTATAATGCTTTTTAAGTCATATAATTGAGGGATATTTTGTCCATTTTAATTACAATGTGTGTGTGTTTTTTTATTACTGTATTTGTGGGTACATAATCTAATTTTAATCACAATAGAGCCAAAGCTCATTCACGATTTTCTAAGAATTACAGACACACTACACATTCTAAGAAAATCAAAGACGTGATTGTCTATGTAATGCTTGGAAAACAATGGTATATTTGCATACAAATGTTGCTGTACTGTCGATCAAACCTAGCAGTTTTTCATTCACATTTAAAATAACAGCTACGTCTCTCACAAAATTTTGATGCCTCTCTGAGCTGGAAAAATCTGCATTTTCTTACACAGCTCCATGTTCTTGGAATCATTTACAGAAAGAATCTTAAACTGAAATCTGTGGTGTCATGTCAGTTCAAGCTAATTTTTAGAAAGGTGGCGAGTGAGACGTGTGAGTGCTTTTCTTGAGAGATACAAATGGTTTTATAATGTGGTATTTTGTGATTTTACTGTTTTGTATTGATTGTGTTGTCAATTAGTTAAATAACAGTAAAATAAAATAAAAATAAATATTGTTGAGGAAATATTGATGGTAAATTATAATGCTGAAACTAACTTAAAGTATTCAAAAATGTAATTAAATAAAAAGTACTTGAGCTGCCATAAATTAATAGCAGAAATCACTTATTAGTAGTTAATTTATATCTATTAATCCAGGTCTTGCCCTGTTTGATTCTGAGTTACACTAGTTCAATCCCAGTGTTTGAACTTGTTGTACTATACTTACTGTACATTATGTAGGTACTGTGAGTTATAAAACAGGCGTTCAGAGCATTTATATGTGTTTAAATCACAATAAAGCCAAAGCCCGTTAACATTAACAGTTGTCTGGGCCAATTCCATAATATTCAAGAGGTAGATTTTCCAGATAATGATGACAAAGATGTTTAAATCCACATTCAAAATTACTGCTAATCCTGTCACAAAATTATAAATGCAGATGTATTGTTGAGAAAAATATTGATGATAAACAATAATATTGAAAATACTACTGTCATTTACGCTATTATAACTCTTAAAAATATTCTAAATGTACACTGTTGTTAAGAAAATACACAGGCTGCAATAAATAAATACAGTAAATAGCAGAAATTATACTTATTAACAGTTAGTCTGTATCTATAAGGAGACGTAGAAGTTATTTATTCAACTTATTACAGCTGAAAACAACTTAGATTTAGTAGATTTTAGTAGACTTGGTTTGATCCTGATGTTGTAGACTTTAGTAGACTTCATCTGGTCCTGTTCTAGTCGTAGTTTAGTCTTAGTTCTGCCCAATTTAATTCTGAGTTCAGTCCTAGTTCATTCCCATTGTTTGAACTTGCTATACTGTACTTACTGTACATTATGTAATTGTTGTTGCGAGTTGTGAGGTGTAATAACATCTAACTGAAGGACATATTACAATGTGTTTAAGTCCACAAATAATGAACTCACAATAGAGATAAAGCCCATTCATTATTAACTAACAGTTGTCTGAGCCAACTCCAGACATAATGACACTTGTTCTAAGAACATCTAAGACGCAGATTTTCCAGGTAGTGATGGCGATGAATGATGAAGACACATTTAAATCCATGTTCAAAATAATAACTAGGCCTGCCACAAAACTGAAATAGCAGGTATATTGCTTAGAAAAATATTGACGATAAATAGTAATATTCAAACTATTTCATGCCATTGACACTGTTACTATAAAAATATTCCAAATGCACACAATTTTTTTTATTATTCTAAGTATTACAGATCAAAACCACTAAAAGATTTGCACTAGAAGTACCTGCGTGAAATATTTAACCACAAAAAGTATTCTATTTGGTTTGATTTTGATTTTGTAGACTTCAGTAGACTTGGCGTGGTCCTGCTCTAGTCTCTGTTTGAACTTTCTTTGTGTACACAATGTACACTGTGCAGTCACTGTGTGCTCTGAAACAGGTGTATGTCGCGTCAGAGTTTAACAATCCTCTTAAGCGATTTTTGATCTCACATAATCACAGTTATTAAAGGGTGTGTTACTCAAAACATTAATACCTTTTTTGTCTTTTTGTCTGGTGCTTTCTGTTGTAAACGTAACTCCTTAATGCTAGAATGTTTTTCCTGTTCACCCATCCCTTAAGAAATGCAACCGCAACAGCATAAGTAGCTTTTATCACCTATCATTAATGGGTTTATTTTAAATGGGTGTGCTCCAATAATTATAGTCCAGCCTTTACCTGCGAAACAAACTTTGCGGATGATGTGCGTATATACGTGCGTGCATGTGTGTGTGTGTATGTGTGTGTGGGTTGTAATTACATGTCATCATTACAGTAAGAACAATTATTACAAATACAGAAACCAGTTGGAATGGTCATCTGTTGGCCCACCCAGTTTTTGCATAATATACATGATGACTTTGCTGATTTTATTTTATGTATTTATTTATTTTATTTTATTTTTATTTTATTTATTTATTTTTTCTAATATAGAACTTGTAGTAACCAAGATATCTGACAAATCTTTTGAAGTTTGCCCCATACCTTTCCAACAGCTGTGGTACAGATCTGACTTTCTACCATCTCCCTTTAGACTTAAGCCAGGCGTAATTGCAGGGAGCTTTGTGTTCGTCAGTGCGGCTTCTGTTCTTGCTTCATCTCCTCTCGAAGCCTCGTTCAATTACGATTTGAGAACCTCCGAGCGCTAAACTACTTATTACCTGCTGTCTCATACAAAGAGGTGAGCACTTGGCTGCATTTGTTCGATAGATACTGCTCCATTGCTAGATACAGTGTGAAGAATTTCAGCTTCCTGTCATTTTTTCAATGATAGCCCACCCCAGAAGTGGTCTTTTCCTGTAATCCATTTTGATTGGTGGATTAGCATGTCACTCGTGCTTTTGTCATGGTGATTGTAATTTCATTGAAGGTTAATGATTGTGCACTCTGCTTGTTGTTTGGAGGTTAAGTCCAGGGATGATAGCAACAAGTTCTTTTTGTCAATGGGGACAAAGGCTGTTGTAATTACACAATGTGGTTAAATGCAAACAGGAAAATTCAGATTTTTATTTTAAGATGACTATAAATTCTTATCATAGTCATTTTCTAAACAAAAAATATGGGGTAAAAAAAGAAAAAAGTTGCCTTTTGATGGGTGGATTTATTCTGGATCATATCATGTAAAATTCCTTTTCCCTTCTGAACAAAGGTTAGTGCTCTAGGTGAAGAAAAACATCAAAGAATACCTATATCATATGGCCTGGGACTATAGTTATTGTCCTGAATATACCACCTCAGGTTAGAGGAGGCATAGGGTGATAAAAATCTAATCTCTAATCTCTAATTTACTCTACAGCTACAAGTTAAGATTGATTTGCTTTCATAATAATAATAATAATATTCCTTAAGAAGACCTTTCCAGTACTATAAATACTATACTACACTATTTAATCAAACATGTTTTTAATTCTTAACCAATCCACAAACCAAGCTTGCAATTCTGTTTGGAGAAAAGCCAATGTTAGCTGGATGTTGTTGTTGTAGATGTGATTGTGGAGATACACAGAACATTGTCAATACACCTCGTCAGAAAGCTCCGAAAATCTCCAACTTCCTGGCTCCAATCTGAACCGGGACAGAAACACGGAATGACATTTTCCAGAGATGGGGAGAGGGTGATGGGGTTTGGGTGTACATGCTCTGTCAGTCGTGCTTGTCAGAGCAGCCTCCATGTTTGATAATTCCAACAAACTCCAAATAAAAGAAATCTGGCTTGGTCTCCCCCGTCTCAGT